CAGCCCCTCACCCTGACCTTCCGGGTCCCTCCCGGGGGCTCCCCGCTCCCTGTGCAGCTGAGGCTGGAAGGGGCCGGCCTGGCCCTGACACTGCCCTACTCCCGCCTGTTGGGCCCCCAGGACGCCGCGCAGCCCGGGGAGGTGCAGCTCGAGTTCCAGTAAGTGTCCTGCTCTGTCCTGAGAGGGCCCGGTGGTCAGGTGACCCTGAGGTCCAGGCATGCCGGGAGCCCCAGCAGCCCGCCTCAGGTTCTGGTTTTCCCGCCCCCCACTCCTCATCAGGCTGCAGGAGACCTCGGAGGACGCGGACCCCCCGCTGCCCCCCTTCCACTTCCAGCGGCTGCTCGCCAACCTGACTGCCCTGCGCGTGCGGACCCGCCCCAGCCCATCAGGTCAGTGATGACAAGGACGCCGCAGGGCAGCTGGGCCGGCTCCCGTGTGGAGTCCTCAGGCATTGTCCCCACGTGGGGACATGGTTATTGTCCCCATTTCACCACGAAGGAGCCTGAGGCCCAGCGAGGTCGGACCTTGGATCCATGGAACCAGTGGGCAGCCGTGGGCGCTGAGGGCAGGGGCCGGGGCCGGGCAGTGGGGCCTGAGGATGGCAGCTCGGAGCAACAGGTGCCTGGCCAGGGAGGCAGCCGAGAGCCACTGGTGCCAGCACGTGGTCCAGGGTCACCGCTGCGAGGGGCCCACTGCGTGACAGAACCCCCAGACTTGTGCCCAGGGGCTGATGGGCTCCTCCGAGGCCAGCCCTCCCTCCTCTCTGCGTCCGAGGCTTGGGGGTGGAACCTAGCCTGGTCCAGCTCCTTCTCTTTGCAGCTTGCCTTCACTCCCAGTCCCCCCCAAAGCTCCCCTGCTCCCAGGTCACACCCAGGCCCCCTCGCTGAGTCTCCTGGCAGGAAGTTCATTTTCACCCTTTCCAGCAGCTTCCAGCGCTGCCGTCATTCACTCAGCCTCCAGTCAGCAGATGCTTACAGGCACCCACGTAGCCAGCCTGTGCTGGGTGCTGGGGGCGAACTGGAGAGGCAGGTGGACACCCTAGCCATCCACCCGCCCCCGAGCTCCCCCTTCCCGCGGATAACGTTCGGGCACATCCCTCCAGGCCCTTCCGTGGGCATGACTTAGTCTGACCGTTTCAATGTAGAAATAGGGTCACACAGTACCGTGCCCGGCAGCCTGCTGTCTGCCGTGTCTGGCGGGTTGATCTCTGTCATCACCCGCGGGAGAGCCTGCCCGTCTGTGGGCACGTGGACCGTTCCGTGGCCCAGATGCTCCACGAAGTTCAAGCAGCCCCGTTCGCAGACGAGGAGTGGTTTCCGGTTCCCGCCCCGCACGCAGGGCTGCGGGACCAGGACAGAGCGGCCTGTCCGGGCTTCGTGTCCTCGCCCACGTGTGTCCTCGGGACGGACTCCCCAAAGCCGAAGTGTGAGGCGGAAGGGGCACATGTTACGTGTTGACGTGTGCCGCCACATTTCCCACAGGAAGGCTGCGCCCCCGCTCCGATGACGAGGGTCCTGCACTCTCCGCCCTCCGTGGGTTCGCCAGGGTTCCCAGGGCCCTGTTGTCAGATTCTGCCCAGAGATTCCGGTTGTTTCCGTAGGAAGGAGGGCCTGGCGGGAGCCCCTCTGCCGCCAGAAGCGGCGCCTCCTGATTTATGTTCACACGCGGCCGCTCCTCGCCGCATCGGCTTTTAAATGCCTGACGGGCTGCGGGCGGCGGGCGGCACCATCGCTGCTTAATGTGCGTCTTCCATGACCCCCGAGGGAGGACGTCCTCCCGTAACGTTTCCAGTTACACCGACTGCTCGTCCTGAAAATGGCCTCGTTTTCCTTTGCTCTTTATTTGACTGTTTTTAAAAAATGATAAATGAGCCATGGGCTGCCTCTATATCATGGGCAGTAACCCTCAGCCTGTCACGTGTGTGAATAGGAAGGTTTGGGGAGAAACATTTCTCTCTCTCTCTCTCTCTCTCTCTCTCTCTCTCTCTCTCCCCTCCCTCCCCCCACTTCGCTCCCAGGCCAAGTGCTCCTGAGAGAGGTCCGGCTCCTTTCGGCCCAGCGGGGCCTCTCCCCCCCAGCCTCCTGGGTGGAGATGTGCTCCTGTCCCAAGGGATATGTGGGCCAGTTCTGTGAAGCCTGTGCTCCGGGTTACAAGAGGGAGACACCCCGGGGGGGTCCCTATGCCAACTGTGTCCCCTGCACCTGCAACCAGCACGGCACCTGTGACCCTAACACAGGTGAGTGTCCTGGCACCCCGTCGGGGCTGCACCCAGAGCGGGTCGCTGTGTGCTGTGTCAGTGCCCTCCAAACACAGTGCCAATCAAGTTTGTCGCCGAGGTCCTCCATGCTCTGGGCACTGTGTTTGCCACCACATCACTGAAACCTGCAAAATCCCCCGGGGATGCCAGGGCCTACAGGGTCACCTCTACCTGGTGAGGGGCCTAAGGCGCAGGGAGGCCACGTGGCCAGTAGGTGGCAGAGCTGCTCCTCCCACAAGCTCACTGTCTGCGGTTCCTCCCCATGGACTGGAGAGGAAACCCAGAAGGACCTCCCTAGAGGTCACTGGGCAGGAGGTGCTGGACGGGGCTGGACACAGGCCTCTCACACAGATTGTGGGGGACCAGCGCCCTGCTGCTGCCCGGGAGCAGGCGGGGACTCAGAAGGGAAGCCCTACTCAGCTTTCCGCAGGCCCCGTCGGGAGCTGACAGAGGACAGGCGCCTGGGAATCAGCAGAGTGGCCAGGAGGACGCACATGCAGCATAGGCGCCTCTGCCCGCTTGTGCCCGGGGCAGGCATCACCAGTCGAGCCCAGATGGGGCCTCATAATCCCTCCCTGCAATGCTCCAGGCAGCCCCTACCGAGAAAGCAGAGCCCATTCATGAGATGGGACCAACCTGTCATCCCTCAGATCCCCTGGCCGTGCCACGCCTTCCTGCCCAGCAAGTCCTCATGTGTCCAGTGGACGTGGCCATTGCTTTGCACCCTGGACAGAAGGAGGCGTTATGACCGTGTGGGTGCTGGGCCAAGGCCGGGACCGGTAGAGAGCAGGGCAGGCGTGATGGTTCCCCTTGGACCCTGCCACCACCTCCACCTGGTTCCCTCTTTCCCCCGGGGCAGCCTTGCCAACCAGGCTCCTGGCCCAGTCCCTGGCTGGCGCCTCTGGCCCCAGAGTCCCCCACTCTGAGCAGACTCCAGGTGCTGTGGGCTGGAGAAGGGGTTTGCAGAATCCCCCACCACCAGAAACCTGTGGGCCGGGGGCCACTGAGGACCCAGACCCCATAAACGGAGCCTCATGTCACAACCAGAACTCTGGGTCGGTCACTGTCCCTTGGGCCCCTGTAGTTAGGAGGGCATGGAGGAAGGGAAAAGGAAAACTGAGCAAGACGTTAGCTGTGCTGCCTGCTGCTTTGGTTAGAGCAGCGGTTCTCAACCTTCCTAATGCCGCGACCCTTTAACACAGTTCCTCATGTTGTGATGACCCCCAATTTCATTGTTACAAATTGAACATAATTAAAGCACAGTGATTAATCACAAAAACAATATGTAGTTATATATGTGTTTTCCGATGGTCTTAAGAGACCCCTGTGAAAGGGTTGTTCAACCCCCAAAGGGGTCGCGACCCACAGATTGAGAACCGCTGGGTTAGAGGTTTGGGAATAGAATATAAGAATGATAACTGATAATAATTCTGCGTGCCAGGGACTGTGCGAGCACTCTGGCTGCATTAAATCCTGGTGGAAACCTTTGAGGTCAGAGCCCCGTGGAGGTTGTTGTACCCATTTTGCAGGTGAGGACACTGAGGTGCAGGGTATTAGACTGTTTGCACAGGTTCACTCAGTGGACATGGACCTGAGGTGGACTCTTCATCCCCAGGCCCTGCTGCCTCCTTGGGAGGCTCCCCCTGTTCTGCTGGGACATACCTCTGGGGCAGAGTGCGTCCCGCCACCAGGAGTCCACTCCCTGTCTCTGGAGTTTTCTTGGCTAAGACAGTGCTAAACAGGTGCTTATCTTGTCCTTCAGGGATCTGCCAGTGCGGCCACCACACCGAGGGCCCATCCTGTGAGCGCTGCTTGCCAGGTTTCTATGGCAACCCCTTTGCAGGCCGAGCCGATGACTGCCAGCCTTGCCCGTGCCCTGGACAGTCGTCCTGCACGACCATCCCAGAGAGCAGGGAAGTGGTGTGTACCCACTGTCCCCCGGGCCAGAAAGGTGAGTGGCTCGTGCCCTGGGTCCTGCCCCTGCCTGGGCTCCGGAGTGGGGTCCTGGGTATGGAGTGGGGCAGATGAGGGAGGGCCGGCTTAGGGGTGGCAGACTTGACCTCTGGGAACACTGAGTCCCATGGCACCTTAGTCAGGGCCCAGCTGCTGTGGGTTCCTAGCAGAACTTGGGCCATTGAGCATGTCCAGGTGAGATTGTGAAAACCCCCATGTCTGGGCCCAGGCCCCACAGAGGCTGGCTTAGCGAGGGATGCAGCTAGGAGTCTGTATTCCTGAGTTCCCTGGCAGGTGCGTTAAGGCAGAAAACCTCTGATTGTACTTGCAGCCTTTAGCCCTGGTTGGTAGCACAGTGGTTAGAGCATCTGCCTGAGAACCATAAGGTCTCAGGTTTGATTCCTGGTCAAAGGCATGTACCTGGGTTGTGGGTTCAATCCCTGGCCCTGGTCGGGGCCTGTGCGGGAAGCAACCCATCGATGTGTCTCTCTCACATCCAAGTCTGTCTCTCTCTCTCCTCCTCCTCCTCCCTCCCTCCCTCCCCCCCAATCTCTCTGAAAGAAGTCAATGGGAAAACATATGCTCGGGTGAGGGTTAACAAACCGAAAAGAACGCTCAGCTTTCAGAAAATGCCAGCCTCCCCGATCCTCATTCCCACGCGGACGCAGCCCGCCCTGCACATCCGCGTTTAACCCGCTTTGCTGGGATAGCACTCACGCCCTGCGATTCACCCACTTCAAGTGCACAACGCAAGACTTTCTTGGTTTATTCTGTTATTAATTTTTTCAAATTATGGCAACATATGTAGCATAACATTTGCCATGTTAAGCATTTTTAAAAAATATGTTTTTATTAGTTTTATTTTAGAGAGAGGGGAAAGGAGAGGGAGAGCGAGATAGAAACATCAATGAGGAGAGAGAATCATGGATGGGCTGCCTCCTGTACGCCCCCTATTGGGGATCAAGCCCCCAACCCGGGCATGTCCCCTGACCGGGGTTCGAACTGTAACCTCCTGGTTCATAGGTCGATGCTCAACCACTGAGCCACACCGGCCGGGCTTAAGCATTTTTAAGTGGACAGTTCCGTGGCATTAACTGCTCTCATACTGCTGTCCAACCATCACCGCCTTCCTTCTCCAGAACTTCTTTTACTTCTTCTTTTTGTATTTTTATCCTGACCCCGCGGCCTCCTTCCGGGACCTCATAGCGGCCTCCTGCCCCGGGAGCTGTCCGCTCCCAGGTCCAAGCGAATGGCTGGTTACCTGCGAGGCCTCGGCCTTCATCACCAGCTTCCATCTCCTCCTGCCCGTCTATCTCAGAGTCCCGGGCCAGGCACCTGCGTCTCCCCTGAGCTCCGCTCAGACCTTCTCTTCCTATTTCTTTCTTTTCTTTCTTAGTATTCCTCCCCCCCATTTTCAAGGCCGCCTGCCTTAGTGATGGTAGCTTGACTTCACCTGATCGAGGAGCACTGAGGACACGGGGACCCTCTTTCGCAGTGACAGTGGCTGTTAATTAAATCATAAAGCGAGTAATTCGAACTGTAACGATTGGACCCGCCCATAAACGCGTAAAGAGGAACATAATGTGCCGGCGGCAAGAAGACCGTGTGCCCGTCGTCCCGCCACCCCCAGGGGCCCGTGGGACTGTGAGGTCTGTGGGTCCCCAGCCATCTGCCCCTTGCAGACATATACAAGAGGGGGCGTGGATGTTCTTTTACATCCTGTCTGTGTCCAGAGTGGACTTCCCAGGTCACAACCCGCCAACAGCCTCCCCAGACACGACCTTTCCTGAGACGCCCAGGGACCCTGAGGCCTGGGAGGTGGGGCAGCAACCCCCATTCCAGCCCCGGAGGCAGGGCAGGAGCCGGAAGTCAGAGTCCAGAGGAAGGTCAGGACCCCTGGAAGCAGGAGAGGTAACGGGGGCAGGAACCGCAATGAGGAAGCAGCCGCAGCTCAGGTGGGACGTGAGGGAGAGGAGGACGAGGAAGAGGGCGGCAGCAACACTGAAGACAGTGACGAGGAAGATGCTGCAGAGAGTGACGGGGAAGGCAGTGATGAAGATGAAGAGGGTGAAGATAATGATCAAGATGACGATGAAGACGATGGATGATGATGATGATGACAAAGGTAATGATCAAGATGAAAATGGTGACAGTGAAGAGACTGATGGTCAAGATGGTGATGATGATGACGAATGGGACAAGATGGTGATGAAATGATGATGATGATGATGACAAAGGTAATGATCAAGATGAAAATGGTGACAGTGAAGAGACTGATGGTCAAGATGATGCTGAAGATGATGATGATGATGATGAAGGGGACAAGATGGTGATGAAGATGCTGCTACTAAGGAAGGGAAGGTGGTGCTGATCAAGATGAAGGTCATGGATGATGATGATGGTGGTGGTGGAGATGATGACCAAAGTGCTGATGAGAACAGTGATGACGACACGGGTGATGGGGAATAGGAGATGTCAGCCACTGCTGTGGACCGTTTACCGTGCCAGGCCCTGTGCTAGGAGCTTCGCACAAGTGATCTCCCCAAACCCCTCGATAGTCCCGCCTCACTGTGCAGATCGGGACCCCGAGTCCAGAGATGCACAGTGACTTGCCCAAGACCACACAGCCAGCTGACCCCGGAGCCCACCCTCACCCCGTGGACCCGGCAGGCTGGCCTTCCTGTGCCTGCTCCTCCACAGCGGCCCTTTCTTCCCTAGGACGGCGCTGTGAGACCTGTGACGATGGCTTCTTCGGGGACCCGCTGGGGCTCTCTGGGGACCCCCAGCCCTGCCGGCGGTGCCAGTGCAGCGGGAACGTGGACCCCAACGCCGTGGGCAACTGCGACCCCCTGTCCGGCCACTGCCTGCGATGCCTGTTCAACACGACGGGTGCTCGCTGTGAACGCTGTCGGGACGGCTTCTATGGCAGCGCGCTGGCCCCGCGGCCCGCGGACAAGTGTGTGTGTGAGTCCCGCCTCCCGGCCAGCGCCGCTCCGCAGGTTCCTCACCTTCTCTGCTTCTTGTCCAGAAAGTGACAGGGTTTGCTCTTCTCCACGCTCTCCCTCAGCCTTGGCGCCTGATCAGCTCTGACCAGTGATTTTCCTCCTGCCTCAGTCATTAGCGCTCAGCTCACTCTCCACAGGGAGCTCAGGGGCCTGTCCCGATGGCCTCGGCGCCTGTCCCCTGTCACATTCCCCCGCCCCTGGGCCCCAGTCGGGCTGTGCCTCCTTCCCTCCCTACTGCCTGGTTAACACGCAGCCCGGTGCCCCCGCTCAGGGGGCCGAGGTGCACACCCCCCAGGGAAGGCTCCAGAGCGCTGCAGGGAGTTGCTCAGGGTTTGCCCCCAGCTTGCTCCTGGGCCCTTCTTCCCAAGTGGCACTTGTCAGCTCTCTACTGGCCTCTTGTTTTATGGGGCCCAGGGGAGCTGGGTTGAGTCCCAAACAGTGGATCCAGGGGTCTGTCTGCCCGCGACTGAGCCTCTGCCTTCTCTCTAGCCTGCGGGGCCCAGGGCAGGCTCCCAGGCCCCGGGCCGCCTCTCCAAGGGTAGATCGCAAATGGGCTGATGGGAGCCTGGCCCCGAGCCTCCTGTCACAGCAGCGTGGGAGTCTGGGCGGAGCCATCTCCACGGGCTGCCCGTCTTCCCTGCACCTCCTGGACCCCGGAGCTTGGGCGGAGGATCTACACGGTTTCCCGACTCCCTCTCCTGCTCCCACCCCCAGCCTGCAGCTGCCACCCCGGGGGCTCGGTCAGTGCGCGGAGACCCTGCGACCCGG